TCCTGGGAGCTGATCAGGGCCGGAGGAAAAATGTTGATAAGCTGGCAAGCATGTGTCCAGGACACCGAGTCCTTAAAGGATTTGGCGTGTATATCCGCAGCCATCTTGGCCGTAACCTCATAGGCCAAAGATACACACCCTTCCTGAAAGATGACATGCATCCAACCGATGCAAATACCGTGCGTCCGCTCAAGGTGGCGCATGGTAGGGTTCTTCCCCGTGCGAATAACGCCAATCATGGTCTGGTTGTCGTCATAAAAGACGAAATTGGGGTCTTTGCCACCAAGCTGCTGCCGCAACGTGATAGCAGGAAGCCCCAACCGAGTCATAGCAAAGTCGGCCGCAACAATCTCAGCCTCAGGTGTAGAGTGACTAAGGCAACCTTGCCTTTTGCTTATTCCCGCAAGAGGAAAACGTGTGTGAGGACCTTGAATGTGCAAGTGAGCACCGGAGGTAGATTTCAAGCTCTCGCCACAACCAGCATAGTCCGCATCCGCAAACAGCCCGATGGATGAGTCCCCCATGGGATCCCCAACCCATCCAATCATCATGTGATGTTTGGACTGATGCACATACGCCATGAGATGGTGAAGCAAAGCGTCCTCCTTCTTGGTCCATTTTGTGATTTTGCGAGCAAGGTTGTTGATGCTGCGCAACAAGTCGAAACGACAAATGCGGGCGGCATACAGCAACTTCATTAGTATACTGGCCGCTTGAGGAGCCAAAGCACCTCGATTTTCGTCTGTGACTGCCTCTTCCTCTGTGCCCTTGGGAATAGGTGGAGGCGGTATCAACCGACCATCCGCGTCAACAGGCATGGTGTGTCCACACCACGTGCATCGATGACTTTTCCCGTGATATGCCGGAGCCCTAGCAGGGTGATTCTTGGTCTCCTCCGCGGGACTTGGCGACGGTACTGTCTTGAATTTGGTTGGATCGAACCCCGTAACATCACAGTACTTCTTGACCGTCATGTCTAGGTACGTTTCCATGTCGTAGGTCACGGTTTGCACACGTGTCTTGTCGTGCAGTGTGGCTTCCCCTTTGGAGATGCGGCAGCCCAGGTACAAGCCCAACGGTGTTTCGTCTTCGAGACGTAGTTCCGTGCGAAGCATTTCCCAACCAGATTTTAGTTGATCCTTAGGTCCAGCCATCTTCAAATCATCAACGTAGATCACCAAGAGCAACTTCTTCTCCGGATGGAAGTACAACGACGGCCATTCGTCCCCAATAGGCTTGAAGCCAACTTTCTGTACTGCCGTGTGACAATTTTGTTCCCACATGGTTCCTGCATCAGGATGTCCGTATAGAGCTTTGACGAGCCTGCGTACCGGTCGTCGGAATTTGCGATGATTCGCGGATGGATGCCAAGCTTCTTCTGGTAGTTCCACCCGGCACGGAGTGCCGGAGAGCCGAGCCTGAATGTAAGCTTGTATAGCATCTGCCATCTGAACATCCTTTCCTGGTAGACAACCATAGTAATCAGCCCATCGTGATGCATCGAAGGTGGCCGGGGAATTGCCAAGATCTTGGAAGAGCGCTGCTTCCATATTCTGGTCTTTCACCTGATCACCAAGCAAAACACCACGCCCTTTGAACTTTCGGGCAGGGTCATCCTCTTTCAACTGGTAGTTCTTCTCGTAGATGAGCCCATGCACACGAGCCATGTGTACCTTTTCACCCTTTTTCTTTGCTTCTTTGATCACGTCGTCATATTCACGGGTCTGAGAGAAATCAAAGACTTCCTGATCCCACAATCCTTTCCACTCTTTCATGAACGCTTCCATGGCTTTGGGATTGGAGACCATCTCCTTCCGCGTGACCGGACGAGTGACCATGGCATTGAAGCATGATCGTTGTTCTGGGTTCTTGACGCGATGTGATTGTGGAGGTATCGACGTGGTGCATGGCATAGCTGGTATCCAATCTTCGTTGAACACGGAACAGGCCGGAAC